AAGTAGCGCTCGAACTCTTTTAAAAGCAAAGACAGGTGATCGTGAACCAACTGGGAGAATGAATCTTCAGGCTCTGTCTCGCCTAAAATACCCGCTAATGTCTGAAACATGTCGAAAATGCCTCTGTTCACGCGTCGTCCCCATAACTCCAGTTTGGCTTTAAAGGCAGCTACTTTGTCAGCCAACTTGAAAACAGTTGTCATTTTCCCCTGAAGGCACAGATTGAGTTCATTCAGCAGGTTGAATATGTCACACAGGTAAGCCAGTTTGGTGACCCATACCTTGTCACTGAAATGTGCTGCCAGCGGTGACTTCTTTTCTAAGAGAAATCTTTGCAATGGCTCTCGCAATTCAAATACTCTCAGTAACGATTTTCCTCTGGATAGCCATCTTATTTCTGTGTATAACAGAAGGCATCTGTACTCTGCGTCCATCTCCTCACAAAGCTAGTCAAACAGGCGCGAGTTAAGGGCGTGTGCTTTGATGTAGTTAATAACTTTAACGACGTCAATCAATACGCTGTTAAATTCTGGTGACATTTTTCGGCTTGCTAGCACTTCCCTGTGAATGAGACAATGGGTAGCTTCACTTTCAGGTGCAACTTCCTTAATCCGAGCAGTTAAACCAGATAGACGTCTGTGCATATGCCTACACAAAAGGACCATTTTAGTTGTCTTGATATATAACCATCCAGCGACTTGAACAGTTCTGCTCCTGTGGTGTTGGTTGGCAAAGATAGTGCACGTAACAAATCCTCAGGCACATCTTCCTAATATAGATATCGCACATAAATAAGTAGTACTGCCTTGCTGTCAATACCTGTAGATTCGTCAACCTGGAATGCGTACCACGGTGATGCATTAATCCTCTCCAACAATTGCTTTTCAATGTCTTCGGCTATTTCCTCAATGCGTCTAGTCACAGTGCTAGCCGACAAAGGTACATGTGCTATCTTTTCCACAGCAGCTTCTCCTAGTATTTCACGGCAAATGTCTTTAGTGGCGGGCAAGATTAATTCTTCACCAATATTGAATGGCTTTTTAGCTTTAGCAATGCGGTTAGCCACCAAATATGATGCTCTTAGTGCACTCTCTTTTATTGATGTGGTGGCCATCATAAATTTTTTCTGTCCTTCGTGTTCCCGTTTTTTTCTTTCAAAATACTCCAGGGACTTGTCTTTTAATCCAGGGTGCTTGGCATTCAAGTGGCGAAGCACTTTTGAAGGTTTCATTGCGTCATTAGAGAGTTGATCGCCGCAAACTATACAGAGCGGTTTTGGTTTGTGTGAATCGCCTGTCCCGACAAAACCATACTTCAAGTAGGACTCATGGTATTGTCTGTTAAGAGTTGCATGTTTCTTCGATGTTGAAGGCTCTTCGGTTTCTTCACTGAGCCTTTTCTTTTTTCCAAGGAAACTTTCTAAGGACGTCTGTTTTGTATTCATGTTTGCTAACTTGTGAGTTAAATTTGCGCAGACATAATACACACGTACACCAAGCACTGTTAAACCTGAGAAAGTACCCGTGAACAGAGAGAGGAGTGATAGACACTTTCTTTTTACAAAAAAACAAACAAATCCGCATAAAGCACACAAAACAGTAGAGAGGAATCATGGTCACGTGGTCTTTGAGCGACTAAATGGCAGACGAGCCAGCTTCTCTTTTATAGCCTTACTATACACTCTCGCTGTGTGAGGCGTCAGAATCGAGAGAGAAGACGAAGTTCTTTATTAGTTCCAATGCAAATGTCGCGTCGCGCTTTCGTTTTTTATTTATGATATTTACAGTTACGATGATTGTTTTTTTTT